CGCCACGCTCCGTCGAGACTAGTTAAATCCCAAGTGTCGATTACTTTCTGCTCTCCCGCAGTAGTCGGCACGACAACACACTATTGGAGCACAGCCATACAGTGCCATTCCAGGACTGGAGAACATTCATAAGGGGTAAACCAACTTATGATTCAATCATGTGAGCTCTTACAAACCTCATACCAGCCCAGAGAAACACACTTGGTAATGTTTTTCAATATGGTTATGATGTTGTTCAGTCAAGTTGGTCATTGTTATTGTTGATATCTCAGAATTCATATTAATACTTACTTTTTTATTTGGTTGAAGATGAATGATGAGATAAAGCTTCTTCTTGTGGAGGGGATATGTGTTCATGCTGGCAAAAGCTATGATGCAATCATAATCCAATGTGGTGCACCTATTCTTAGCAGCATGATGCTTTCCAGAATATTAAATATGTGGCCTGCTTTTGCAATCCCAGAACCACCACAAGAAACTAACAGTCTTGACAATGACTGGTTATTGAGACATACCATCAAGGTAAGTATTTTATGCACATACTGTCCAAAATGCAAGTGGTGGGTCTGTAATAATTGAACAACCTAAAATTTAGTATTTAAACATGTTTTTTACATAGAATCTTTCTGTACAACACATATTTGCCAAACAAATGAGAAATGTCACCAGTACACCATCAGAATATTCATTCCAAGCAGAATTTGTCACTGTAATCAAGCACCTGCTTGGTTCAGCTTACATGGACCTGCTCTATATGGCCCCCTCCATACATAGCACATGCATTGCTCACAACAACTTTTCCTCCCAAAGTGCAAATACAAGCTGAAGTTTTGATCAATAGTGGTGGTGGTGCTGCATTGTTCTTCTGGAGGTGAAAGAATGTCATGATAATGGCAACTGGCACTGACATCTAGACATAGCAATCTGTTTCTCTTGTGATCAGTTAGTATATATTGGACAAAGAAAGAAGAATATAACTATATAGTAATAGGAATGGAAAAATATTGGAAATTTTCATGTACAGTCAACTCTGTCTATATCAGCATTGTCTATTACTATATATACAATTTTGCCTTTATACTGGTCCAATTTCACTGAACCAAAAAATTCCATATTAATCTCACCCCTTATAATGGCAGATCTTAATAACTCTATTTATACCAGCTCTGGCACAAGTTACACAAAATTCATGTAGACCAGTTTACTTTAAATTATATAAAAATATTTACTTTATACCAGCAAAATCAAGTGATTATTTGTATATAATTGTCACAGCTGATGTGCTGAAGCTGAAACAATGACCTTTTATTGGTTGGTCAGATTTTATTCTCTAACCCCATTGGTTAGTTTCAGCTTCAGCAGGATTTCAGCATCAGCTCCCACATAAAATTACCAATAAATGCAGCCAACCTTTTAACTATTACTATACCATGCAAGAGAATTTCTGCCAAAATTTTTAAACGCATTAGAACTCCATTAACAGGGTTGCAGAAAAAAGAAAGTTGTCAAATTAAACTAAAAAATCCTTCTTTTGCTAATACTAATGTAGAAATCGCTGAATTGTTTGGTTGCGGTACTTATACTAGCACCGTTGGTGATGTTATCCGTGAAAGCGGAAAGTGGCTTGCAATAAATGAGGACGATCATGCTGCTCAACTTTGCAAGAATCGACAACCAAAATGGGCTGCACTAACAAGCGATGACTGTGTGATATAGAAAAAAGAAAAGATAAATCATTTGAAACAAACTCAAGATAAAAATTATAATAACGCACAATTATTAATTATTGGTTCACGATTTCCTATAGTTTTATATAACGGTCTCTCGTTATAACAGCCAGAAACTGCCAAAACACTCGTGCCGGTATAGACAGAGTTGACTGTAACGGAAATAAATACCATGGTGTAAATTATGAAAAGTAAACAAAAATCGAATTTTAGATATACAGCCCACTCCAATAAATGATGGAGTGACACAAAATTTTAATAGTAAAACATATAAAAAGTCTTTCTTTTTAAAAATCTCTCCTGCTCTTGTGTATCATGTGAAGTGCAATAATTTTGTATTATTCTGAAGCTAATTGATTATGCTTTTCGAAAAAAATAACAATAAAATTTTATAAAAGTTAATAGCTTGACGAAGTGTGAGTATACATGCTATACATTTACAGTAGGATGTTCCCCCTTCTAATTCGGGACACAAATGAGTAAACACTTTGAAAGTTTCCCTATATATAGTGTATAATAAACCCTAATAGCTTGTAAAATTTCAGCTTGATTGGATGTCTCCAGCAAAATTTCTAAACACCACAGTTTTACCATGACATATTTTGGGTTTTCAGTCATAAGAGTTCAAAAATTCATATCTCAACACTTCTCTAACCATTTTTTTTTTTTTAATTTTGTTTCTCTGCACCATCAAATTGCATTCATGTAATTTTAGAACAAATTACTGTGTGATCGCTACTACAAAATAAAAACAATTGTGCGGCATAATGATACTTATAAAGATCATTCAACGTGTCGTGTATAATAGTGATTTCAACCACCACATTTAAAGAAATACATAGGAATTGGTTTGATAAACAAAACAAAAAAAAAGATCCCGCAAATTAATTAAAAACATGTGGAGATATGGATTTTTGAAGTATATTGTTACGATCGGGAATTAAATGGGGGTTTTGGGAGAGCAATTTATCTTTTCGTGTAGGTGTATTTGCCGACCGGGGGATGTTACCAGGCTTAGCTCGTACTATCGCCCTTACTACGATAGTTGTGCAATTAAGACTGAA